GGCTGCCGGGGGAGAAGGCTCCTCCTGCTTTCTGCGGCTGCCTGGACACCATCAGCTACCTCTGTTGGCATCCACCAGACACACTCATGGGAAACCATCTGCCCATCCGCACCAACCCGGGAACGAGGAGGGGGTGAGGGTGGCTGGAGAGGGAGCCTGGCCAGCACCGGCAGCAGAGGGCCAGCGGCGGAGAACGGGAGACACTGCCCAGACCTGCTGCCCCGATGAACAAACCCCTCCTTGTCGCACCCTGGGCCACCACCTTCCTGCTCTCCTTGCCCTGAGCGAGGACCACCTCACCGACACCCTGAGACATCATCCATCCCAGACTCATCCCGCATCCTCGTAGCGCGGTGCTGGTCCTCCAGCCGCACGGAACCCCAGCTTTCCTCCTCTCCACGCTCCTCCCGCAGCAGGTCCCCTCTTTGCGGAGAGCAGAGCCAGGGCAGCAGGCGCGAAAAAAACCCCGCCGCGCTCGAGCACTTTTTGCCTGCTGTATCCACCCCAGGCGCTCAGGGCAGCGCTGCTCCTCCTCCGGTGGCCGCGGGACTGAAGGACATCAGCTCGCCGGGAGAGCTGAGCCCGACCACCTCCCGCTTTGCGGAGGGGAGAGCCGTGAAGTCCCAGGAGGGAACTGTTTCGCTGCCAAAAAGTTGGGCTTTTCTGGGCCCTGCTGTGCAACAGCTGGGGTTCAAGATGTTTGCTACCACACACAGCTGCATGCATCTGGCTTACGGCTCCTTTCCCGGTGCTTTCCTGCAAGAGCCGAGAGCAGTGGTAGATGCCACCCTCAACCCTCTCGCTCTTACCTTAGAAGGACAGATGTGCTGCCGCGTCCGTTGTTCCCGCTGCACGATGCTTTTACCTTGCTAAAAAGGCCACTCCAAGAGGGAGAAAGCAGCTCTTAACTCTCCACTGGAGGCAAACTGTTCTCCATCTCCGGCCCCCTTCGCTCGCAGGCGCGGTGTCCCAAGGAGGGCTGCCTCGAGCACGGGAAGGACAGAGGCTGCTCCAGGGTCAAGGCTGGAGAGTCACGCAGGACCCATGTAACCCCTGTGAGGCCATTTTATACATTAACTCTCTTTTCAGATGTAAATAAACATTTTATTTTTCAGCAGGCGGAGCCACGCTGCTTCTGTCTGCTCTGCGGGAGGGACGCAGCGCGTGGGCACCGCGCTGAACGCAGCCGTATATGCGAAGGCGGCGACGCACACACGCTCCCGGTCACGGGGGTGCTAAACATGTACCCAGAGCCCCTGGCTCGAGGTGGCACCGTGTTCCCCTCCCGAGGATTCCATTACAGCTCACTTGAGGAGGCCAGTAGCAAGATAAGATGCTTAATGTGACAGGGATAATACAACCAGCGATCCAAATCGCATCCCAGCCGCCCCGCGCAGACCGAGGGAGCGGGCGGTTTCTCCCAGACGAGACTCGGAGTGCTGGCCGGGTTCTCCTCTGCTCCTTGCCGGGTGCTGCGGGCTCCAGCAGCCCAGCGCTGGTGCGGGGGAGCTGATGCCACAGCGCCTCAGGAGGAGAAAGCTGAGATGGAAGCGGGTCTCCCCCCTGAATCAGTGCTCTGGAGTTTCAAAGTTGGGCAGGGGGAGAGAAAGCCCTGCTGCGCACTGCATGGTAGGGACCCGCGAGCGCCTCTGCTCCGCTCCCCACCAGTCCAAACCCCGAGTCAGCTTAATTTGTATCGAGATACGCCAAAAGCTTTAGTTTTGACCAGAAAAAAAGATTTTTATCTTGCCCTATTTAAAACTTTTTGTGATAGCTGCTCAGCGGCATCCTCTTGACTGCCCGGCTGTGGTGACAGCAGAGGTTGGCTGAAGGTTTAGATCAGTCACACCAACAGCTCACGACAGCTCAGACCAGAGCTGGACACAACATCAGCACCAGTACACAACTCAACAAGGCCTAAATTAATTTCTGAATTAGCAAAGAGACAACTTTTAACGTGCAACTGGGACCTTTTAGGGGCAAAAGTAGCAACCCCCAGCCAGGAAGGAGAGCGCTTTTGCCCTTTCCCCAGAAATCTTGCCTTAAATTCACGTCTGGGCTTCCTTTGTCCCCTGTGCACGCTCCGGCGCTGCCTGACCACAGGAATTCTCCCAGCATGTACCCAGGGGAGGCGCGAGGGTGTCCCCGCCGACAGGAGCCGGGCAGGGCTGGGCAGCCAGGGATGAGGCAGCCCAAAACTCCTCAGCCTATAACCACCTGGGAGGGGAAGCTGTACCTCTTCCCGATCACCCTGAAATAAATCAGTGAGGTTATTTGTGATTCTACAACTCCAGCTCCCTCCACAGAAACCCACACACCAGAAAGAGGTTTTTCAGGTTTGGTTTTTTTTTATTATTATTTTATCCAAGTCAGCAAATACTATTTTATTCGGACAGCTTGCCTCAGGGTAGCACCAGACTCCCCGCCGCCCGCACAGCCACCCTTTCAGCAACAAATGCTGTTTAACGTCCCCCGTTTAAGGGACTGCCTCCTCAAAGAATCGCTGTTCTATAAAATCCCCTCCCTGGTGTTCCCCTCGGGCTACTCCAGCACCCCTTTAAACTTTTACATCGGGGCTCCTGCAGCACCTTTGCTCTGGGGCTCTCCTTTTCCTTCATACGGACGCTGCTGCATCTCACCCACCCCTTTTCCCAGCCCCCAAGCATAGTGATCTACCAGATGTACCACCTACCCCCCCCCCCCCCCAAACAAAACCCTTTCTTCTTTCCCACCCTACGACCCAGCAAAGCCAGCCCCAAGCCTGTGTCGTCTCTCCTTCCAGCCACCCACTTCCCCGCAGAGCCTACCCAGCTCTGAAGGTACTGCTGAGCCAGGGCTTCCCTGGCTCTCCGGATGCTCCCAGCCCCTTTCACTTGGGTTTTGGGTTCTTTTTTTTTTTTTTTTGCTTCTATGAAAGCTTTTGCCCTTTCCCCACAGAAATCTTGCCTTAAATTCATGTCTGGCCTTCCGAGGGACACAGCACTGACAACCCTGTACTTGTGCGGCCAGAGACACCGCCAAGGCTGGGGAGAGGGCAGAGCAAACCGCCTTGGCGCTCCCCACCGTTCCTCCAGCAACAGGGAATGAAGGGCAAAGCCCAAAATAACTCTTCCCAGCACAGCCTCAATCCTCCGAGAAGCTTTCGGGGATGCTCCACCTCACCAAAACTAATTTTTCAGGGTGAAATCTCCTGCAGCCTTGTCCCATTCCGGCTGCGCATCTGGTGCTAGCTGCCAGTGTGCGTACGCCCACGTTATCTGCTAAAGGTGACAAAAATAAGCGTGGCACATGAAGTTTAAGAGTTAAACACGAGTAGAAAGCAGCACCCCCCAGCTGAGCACGCTGCCAAGCACAGGTGAGCTGCCAGAGTGGGCCATACCGGCCCGGGTGCCCCAGGACTGTCCCCCGGCCGCAGAGACACCAGTTCAGTGGGACAGTCAAGCCTTTACCAAGCACAGAGCAGCTTTCAACTCCACCTAAATGGTCCCGGGCAGCCGATCAGAAGGGGGGGACTAGCTCAAAGGATGGAGCCCGAGTGGATTTTTATATTTGGGCATCTACAATCAAGGTCCAAAAAATGAAAATCAAGAGGAAAACCCAGTTTCTTCTCCTTCCTAAAGAGAAAAACACTTTTCCAGGCTCATCAAGGCCACTGCTCACAGACTTCAGGTTTTGTTGTTTGTGTTTCCCCCCCACACACACTCCAGAGAGTCACTGGAAACCATTTTACATCAACATAACTGTCACCAGAGCCCCTGTGGCTGCTCGCCCAGCTCCAAGAGATGGAGCAGTCTCTCCGGGGAGGCAGCCTTGTCCTGCGCCACGTGTCTCCACTTTGAAAACACCCACGCCACCAACACAAGAATCCCTCAGCAGAACTATTTCCAACCACTAAAGCCTGGAAACCAAAGGCAGGCAGTGGCTGAGCACCAAAGCTTTGCACCGCAGTTACATTTGGGCTGTGATTTCTTTTGCCCATCTCCCATGTGGGGCAGATGTATCCCTCGGTTCCGGTTCTGCCCGCCTCGGCACTCTGCCGCCTGCCAGAGGCGCAGGAGACTGAACAGTCTCGAGCTCTTCCTTCTCTCTCATCTCCTTCCAGGGGAACATCTGCCTTGCGACCAGTGTCAGCATCGGGATCTTGGCACTGACAAGCCAGACCGAGAGTCTCTGCCATAAAGCATTTGCCACAAAAAACAAGAGTTCTTTGGGAGTGAATAACATGTTCACAAACAACCCCCGAGGGGGGGCAAGCCGCTGAACGGAACCAGGGTGGGCTGGTTGGAGGGAGAGGTTTTGAAGCCCAGATTTGGGGTGGCAGTAGGGCAGACGTTCCTGCTAGACACGCGGGCTGCGCGAGTTTCGCTGCAGCTTGATAAGCCAAACATTATAAACTCCACTCACTTTGCCCATCGGCAGCAAACCTGCCTTCCTCATCGCCTCCGATACATTTTCTGGGTCAGCTCCTGAGCGATCTACACGGCACAGAAGGGGCCAGGACAAGTGTCAGAGGTCTCGGGGAAGATAGAGTGTGGAAAACAATAATTGATTGCTGTGGGTAACTGTCAGCTTTTTAACACCGCACAGCCCTGAACGACAAAGGCTGCAGGAAGCTTAAGGCAGATAAACCTTTTGGGCTCGGTGCTTCTCCTCCTTAACCTAACCTTTTGGTATGAACAACAATGATCCCGGGAACCCAGAAAACAGTCAGGCTCAAAGAGCTGCCGGGTTGTTGTCTTCTGCTGTCCCTCGTTCTCCCAGGCACGTTCTCCGATGGCCGAGACCTTCTTCCCCG